GAGGGCAATGAATGTACAAATGTGCTTTACACAATTGATGTATGTATGGATTGTGATACGAGTTGTATGAGCCCCTAATAAAATGATTAAAAAAAAGAAAGTTCACCCATGATACAGAGATGGATTTTACTAAGATCATCTAATGATAAAAAAACACAACTTTACATTTTTAATACACCTTAAAAACCCCAAACTAAATTCACTGCCTCTGGTCTATTCTGACCCACAGCAGCCCTAAAAGAGTAGAACTGTCCCTGAGCGTCTCCAATGCTGTAATCTATACTGCAATAGAAAGCCTCGTCTTTCTCCTGGGAAGCTCCAGGAGGGTACAGATCACTGACCTTGTGGTTGTGTAATCGTTTCTGTTGTAAGAATTAATACCTAACTAGTCCCAAGGAGTTGGAGATTGAAGAAGCCTCAAATGTCCCAACTCTTTTTCCAAGATGCTGGGCTGTTCCATCCCTTGCCCTCTATTGCACCGGGAATATTCCCTCATGTTTCTGGGTTCTGTGCAATCGCTGCAGCATCCCAAGTGAACTTGGGAAAGCTTGAGGAGAAGTCTCACAGGGTGATTCAGTCCAAAATCTGAATGTCAGATGTTGGGTCCAGAGGTTGTATTCCACTCCTGGCTCTTGCCAATGATGAGATTACACACCCTGCTCCTCAGAGGGCTAATTTTATATGTAGCAGGAAGGCATTGCAGGGAATCCTGTTCAGAATTGCTCAGAGGTGAGTCCTATCGTTCTCCACCTTCTTACCAGACCCACGCAGGAAAAGGTCATTTGGCGGGAGTTATATTGATTATCGAGGATGTAATTAAATTAACATATAACCGACCTTTCACTCAACTATACTAATCTGATCTCGACACTGAAGTAGCTTATTTATGCACATATGACCTGGGACCTCTGGCAGGATGTTTCCAGTAGGCACTGTCCTCCTACTCATCTTCATCAGGCCCTTTAGAAGCAGCTTTTCTCCTTTCAGCTGTAGTCAGTCACTCCTTACATCCATTCCAAGTACCAGGAACCAAGCACTGCTTTCTCTTCAAATCGTATCAATCTTTCGCCATTTACAAGCACCAGTAACCACTCACTCCCACTGAGATATTAACATGACGATTCATAACAGTAGCAAAATTACAATTATGAAGTAGCAACGAAAATAATTTTATGGTTGGGGGTCACCACAACATGAGGAAGGGTCGTGGCATTTGGAAGATTGAGAACCACTGCTCTACGGGTTTCTGAGACTCTAACTCTTTAGGGGAGTGGAAAACCTCATCTTTCTTCTCTGGAGAGGCTCGTGGTTTTGAACTGTTGATCTGGAGTGAGCAGCCCACCACAGAACCAGTGTGCCACCAGGGATCCTGACAGTAACCAAGATAATGATTAAACAGAGTGTGTGGCCTAATGCATACCTTCTACTAAAGTCAGATCTTAATCTCATCCTATCATGTTCTTTAGTGGATTATGCCCTCCAAAATGGGACTATAGCCATATGGATATGAAATCCAGAATTACAATATATAAGGGGCTACAGCTTGAAGGGCCATAGTAATTAAATACGACTCAGCAGTTAGCAGCCCGACTCTATTACTGTACACATGAGTGAGTGTTAACTACTCTGTTTCTCTTTAAAACCACTCCCTCCTTTTCCAGTTTCTCTGCCTAGTATGCCCTTCTTCCCCTAATGCCTGCTCCACTTTTGAATATCTCTGAGGCCTGTTCTATAGGAATAAAACATATTGCTCAAATAGCTGCTGTATAAGACCTTTTTAAAGTGTGGCAGAGCAAGGTTGTCACTTTGAAGATGACAGTGTGCCTGCAAGCCATGGTATTTTCAATCACCTCCTATGGATGCTGACTCATAGTGATCCTATAAGACAGGGCAGAGCTGCCCCTGGGAGTTGCTGAGACTGTAACCCTTTACAAGAGTAGAAAGCCCCCTTTCTCTCGAGGAACCCTTAGGGGTTCAAACTGCTTACCTAGTGGTTAGTAGCCCAACTTGTAACCACTATACCAGTAAGGCTCTGTTTTATACCACATAGAGACCTAATAATGATGATAGATCGCTGTATTTGAATGTTTACTATATGTTATGGCTCATTTCATAAAAATTCCATAAACTTGATTTGATTTCTATTTTAAGGATAGGAAAATGAGGCAGAGAGAAGGGATAGAATGCCCCTAAATCAAAGAGCTGACACAGGGTTGAGCTGGGATAAGATTCAGGTATTCTGACTTGCTATAACTTGCATATTACAATGCAGTCGAATATTTAATATGAGTGTGGTCTAGTACTAGAATGAATTATTGACTGAAGGTATGAATAAAACTTACACAAAGTGAAAAATTATTCATCGATTCCTAGCACTATAATAAATGTACATTTCACTTAGAATATTACCTTTGCTTTTCTTGAAAATGTGGCCACTTTTCTTCCATATCATTTTCAGTATCTGTATATTTTACAGTTTCCTTTGATCTTTTTTCTAGTGGTCTCCATTTTTGGTTTCTTCTCTGTAATAAGTAAAGAGTAGATGTTATTTTGTGAATAATGAATATTTTCATTTTTTGAATTAAAATTAGTAGTGTGGATACTGATAATGTGAATAATAGACTCATCATTTTTAAACATACCAATGTTTTTGTACTGCATTACAGAATGAGCAAAATATTACTGGGTCTAATATATGATTGTACAGCTAGTCCAGTGACAATACTTTTTAAACTAAAAATACAGGTCAATAGTAGTAATAGTGAATGTTTAATTTTATTCAGTAAGTAGAAGACAATATTACTCAATATAAAGAGATTATATTACTATTTAAATATGCAATCTACATGATCAAGTTTTATTTTTATTAATGTAAACTTTTATTATTTAAATTATTTTTATTACATAAAGTATAAATCATATGTGATGTCTATTTATTAATGTAGAAAAGGTTGTCAGCAGTTTCATCATAAATATGTAACACAGAAATTAAATTCCCAATCTGATGGCTGACATTTCTGTATTTAACATTTATTTATAATGCCATCAGCAGTTCAGGTGTTCGTTTCAGAAATTACGAGTGTGAACGCTGATTGCCTGTGCATCCCTATGTGAAAGAAGCTCCTCAGAATGTCTGAGGTTTTTACAAAACAACCGCCTCTATTCCAGAATGGTGTATATTCCCATTACCATTATAGATACAACAGGGCAAATACTATATTGAATTTAAGGAGAATACTGTACCTCACGAAATGTAAATATATGGGAAAGATGGCAGCAGTTACTAAAACACTCTTGGCATAAGTGATATTCGATACATTCAGTACATCTAAAAGTATAAAACAATTTAAAATCCAATTATTTGATGATTTTAGGTGAAAAATTACAGTCACAACTTTCTGGAAACTATCCAGTCATGAGAAGGTTGATGGCCAAGTCCCTTTCTAAATTACTTTTCTATTGCTGTTAACACAAGTTACTACAAACATAGCATCTTTAACATAAACAAGTCTCTAGGCGTCTCACTGTTCGACATTCCAAGGGTGAAATGAGTTTCATTACTTTCTGGAGGCTTTAGGGCATTTCCTTGCCCTTCCCAGCTTCTCGCGAAGTCTCACCTTCCTCACTTTGTGGACCCCTCCTCATCCTGTACAGCAGCGGTTCTCCACCTTCCTCATGCTGCGACCCTTTCATAGTTCCTCATGTTGTGGCGACCCCAACCATAAAATTATTTTCGTTGCTACTTCATAACTGTAATTTTGATACTGTTATGAACTGTAATGTAAATATCTGATGGGTAGTATGTATTTTTATTGTTACAAACTGAACATAATTAAAGCATAGTGACGAATCACAAAAACAATATGTAATTATATATTGTGAAATATTTATTTCTAATGACAAATAAATGAACTTTTGTCTTGAAGCAGGGTGTAGCATGGGTAACAGTCTTCACGCCGTGTACTCATATGTGGGCGTATCTGCATGTGGGCGGACTGGCCTGGAGATGGATAAACCAGCGGTGTCTCGGTTCTTAAGACCATCAGAAATACGTGTTTTCTGGTGGTCTTAGGTGAACCCTGTGAAAGGGTCATTTGACCCCCAAAGGGGTTGTGACCCCCAGGTTGAGAACCGTTGTTTACAGCGAGCAAAGCTCTATCTGTCTATTACATATTACAGTTCAGTCTAATATTTAATAAGAGTGTAGTCTAGTATTTTATAGGTACTAGTATGCATTATCGACTGAAGGATGACAGCCACACTTCCCTATGTCTCTTATCTCACCTCCTTCTGCTTTTAAGAATTACATTGGGCCCACCAGGGTAATCCAGGATAATCTCTTATTCAAACTCAGATGACATAACCTCAATGGCACCTGAATCAATCCTCTTTGATACATAACCTAATGACAGGTTCTAGGTAGAGGCCGTGGATGTATGTGGGTGGTCATTATTTTGACTGTCATACACTCCTGCTAGGATGCCTGTCTGGACCACTATCTCAGCTTTTTTTACCTCTTTCTCAAAGTTCCTATAGTACTTGCTGCTGATTGAACATTCTATCATTGATTATCTAGTACTATTTTCCAGTTCTTTCATTGAGTGCAACAGACTTATTTAGCAGCATCTTCCTTGAAAATAGGAATAATATTGTAAGTCTTCATTTTTGACAAAACAGTGAAATGGGCAAAATGTTCTCAATAAAAACCACTGACCAAAAATACACCAATGTCACTTCACTTACAAGTCTAATCTCAAGCTTATACCATTTGTACAAATTTAGTAACAAGCGGACCATTTACTTAACAGTAATATCCAGAAAATAAACAATTTCCTGAGCAGTAGTCAAATAAATCTACTTTCTTACTCAAGCTGTCAATGATGTAGAAGACTATTGCCATGAGAAATTTGGGAAAATCTGTTCTTCTGAAATCATGTAAAAACAAAGTGCTAATTTATTCATTATTATATATTCATTTATACACACAGGGAAGATTCAATGTATGGGAGTAATGGAGCAGTTTATACAATACAGCAAAATATACTGGACTACAAAAAGTTACGCATTTCTACATTTGAACACATATCTGATATTTTTAGAATATTCAACCATTCCCCAAATGATTGGGAAGTTTGATTTTTCAAAGTGATGACATTAGTCCTTCAGGGGTTGAAGAGAGAGAGATCACAGCTCATATAAATTCTTTGTTTAATGTGTAAAATAAGAGTGAGATAGAGGTGAGTAATTATCAGCCGACTCCAGAGAGGAATTGATGGGAAGCAAAGATACGCTCAAAGAAGAGTGCAGACTGGTGGGCATCACAGTGACACATGCGTGGTTGTAGACATAACGAAAGAGGTATTACAGACTGAATGTCCTTGCTCCAAGCCAAGATGTGTTATAAGCCCAAACCTAACCCTATAGGAGCTCTCTGGAGAAAGCTAAGACTTTCTGCTTCTGTAAAGATCTACAACCGAGGAAACCCACAGGGCTGCTCTATTCTGTCCCGGAGCTCCACTCTGAAGGCGCAAGGACTCGACGGCAGAATGTACGTGATAGGACCTCTGATAGCACAAGGGGATCTGTGTGAGGAGGCCAACTGCAAAGCCAGCAGTTTCAATCTAGATGAGGCTGTGTGCTGCAGAGCCTCAGAAACCCGAAGAGCAGCGCTATCTGCCTGACAGGGTTACGCTGAGTCAGAATCCACTCGATGGCAGGGGTGGACTCCCACTGGGAATGGAGTTTTCATTACGTTGTTGAGGGCGTGTAGAGTGTGTCTTGAAGCGTGGTGAAAGTTGTCAAGAGTGTGGTTGAAGTTGTCAATGATTTTGTCTTTCTTGGATCCACAATCAATGTTCACTGAAGCAGCAATCAAGCGATCAAAGGACAGATGCATTAGGTTAATTTGTGGCACAAGACATCTTTAGAGCACTGGGAAGCAAGGGCGTTACTTTGAGGACTAAAGGTACTCCTCACCCACGAGAATTTCTATCGCCTTACATGTGTTAGAAACTAGGGCCATGCAAACAGAAGACCTAAGAAGAATCTGAGCACTTGAACGGTGGTGCGGGAGAAGAATGACAGTACCGTGGTACCGCGGACTGCTAAAATGACAAACAGGTTTGTCTTGGCCAGAATGCTTCTCAGAGGCAAGAATGGCGAGACTTCTTATTACATACTTGGGACATGATGTCAGGAGACCCCTAGTTCCCGGAGAAGGACATCATGCTTGGTAAAGTAGAGGGGCAGCATAAAAGAGGTAGACCCTCAAGAAGATAACTTGCACTGTTTAAATTTTGAAAAACCCCAGTTCTTTAGGAATGTAAAAGCACTAGTACCATAACTTACAAAAATTTGTCTTGACATTGATGGAGCTTATACTGAGAAATAAAGTTTATATATATAGGTTTTATTTTTAAAACTCCATTCTTCCATGGGCATTTGAAGATCTCTTGTATGTTATATATAAAACAAATCAATAACCCAACTCAAGGAAAAATATACCATTTGCTATTAGGGGTGATGGCAGTTTATAAGAGTTAAAAAAAGAAATTCTATTTAAATTGTATTCATCATGATGTAATTCAAGAAAGATTGAAAAGTAAACTCATGAATTTTAGGATTATTTTTTAATAGAGTGAAATAAAATATTTATTTTAACATACCATCCAACTACATTTTAATTGTTAAGAAAAAATTCTTTGGGATAGCAATTAGTTGATAATTCTTTATGAAAATTGTGGAACAGTTAAAGAGTTTCTTAAAAAGTGATGAAAATTTTTCTCTAATACTTTTGAGGTACTGAGTTTGCAAGAAAACAAAACCCACAGCCATCACAGTTTAGAGTACAGAACTAACGAAATACACAGTCAAGCTCATCAAAAGTCCTGGTTCAATTCACTGTGTTTTTGCCTTTACAGTCTCCTTAATGGTGGTTCAAAGACAGTTCCGGTGAGCGAGATGCCCACTAAGGCTCTGAGATTTAGAACTCAGACAGAAGCTAAGTAATGCCCTTGTGCAGAGCTCCTAGGATGGGTACAATTTGGACTGGTACCTGCACTAGAGAGTATAGTAATGTATCTTTGAGAAAGTGCAGAAAACAAGTTCTTTAGAGTCTGGAAGTCTAGGGCTGACAGAGATCACCACTCTGGAAATCTCAGATAAGCAGACGTCTCGTAGGCAAGTACACTATATGCACAAGGAAGAAAATACACATAACAAGAGATACTCTAATGCTTAACATTTTAAACTTTCCTACACATGGTACTTACTTATAGCAATTCCCCTCAATTGGAAATTGTTGACAGTTATTACAGGGAATCCCAAGGTGTTTGTCCAGTCGCTCTTTCTCAGCTGCACTCTCAAGTTTGCTAGAGTTTTTGAATTCCTCTAAAATAAGCTTTAATGGTGCAAACTCTTTTCTGCACAGAGGACATTTCAACATGGAAGTACTTGTTGTCATTTCTTGAAAATTAGCTAAGATCTTCATGCATTTTATATGAATACTATTGCCACAGCCATACCTGTCAGAAATGAAATTAAAATTTACTATCTGTATACAGTAACATTGTCTATATCTTTACATCTATATATGTGTGTCTCATTTGGTGTGTTATCATCTTTACTCTCCATAAAAATAGAATGTGAAGAGATTGTCCAGATATAGACTGATACAAACACACACACACACACACACACACACACTTGAACACACACATATTCTGTCAGGCAGTCTGCCTGCCTACTTACCTCCGCACACATCCATTCATACTTAAGTTAGCCCATGGCGATTCCAAACACAAGTTCTCCCCCAGTCCAGTGACAGGACAAAAGATTTTGCATCGTTAAACTACTTTTCATTTGTAAAATGCTAATGAATACAGGCTTAACACAAAAAAATTAGATTAGAAGAATAATTAGCCATTGTTATTTCTTAAGTAAAATGCTTTACTGAAGGCAGAGGTGCCATCTTATTTTTCACAAATGAGACCATATGCAGTCCTGCCCAAGGAATTCTTGCCAAAATAAATATTTGGAACTAGTTCATAATTTGAAAACAAGCGCTGGAAGAAGCCACATGAAAACTCAAATGTGCATCTATTCATGTATGTACATTCTAATTCTCATTCTTGCGCATGTAGCCTCGAGAGTAACAACAGTGTCTCTTACAACGTGTACGGCTGAAACTGGCTTCAGGTAAAGCTTTCTATTATTTATGAACACGCTTCACAACATAATTAATTATAATCATATTAAATGAGAACTCTTTAGACTCCAAAGAAAAAGGTGCGTCACCTGCAAAAGGTGACAGGAAGCTTTTTCTCTAACAGCACTTCTTGACAAATGGAGCAGACGTCCTCTGGGTCGATTTCCTTTTGCTTTATGTGCCCATCTTCTTCAATCGGTGTAGTTTCCCCATTTGTTTCTGGTTGGGGAGTTCTAACTCGGTGTGTTCCCCGGAGCAAGTCACTGATTTCTCCTTCCACGAGTCCCAACTGGAAAGCAGCTAGTAGAAAACCCCAAAATATTAAAAATGAGTGGTGTCTTAATTATCTAGTGCCGCTATAATAGAAATACCACAAGGTGGTGGTTTTAAAAAACGAAAATGTGTCACAAGTTAGGGGATTAAAAGTCCGAATCCAGGGCACTGGCTGCAAAGGGACGTCTGCAGAGGGAGCTCGGTCAGCTCTCATGGAAGGCCCTCCTTGGTGATCTCCAGTCTGTGTCCCATGTGCATTTTCCTATCTCTGCCTGCTCCTCTGTCCTTCTTTGCCCTTTTGAAGTCTCAGTGGTGACTGGTTTAAAATGTACTCTACGCTGATATGGCCTCTTCACAGAATAATGAAAACTCATTCCCAAATGGGATTATAGCCATAGGTATAAGGGTTAAGATTTATAACACATTTTTTGAAACACAATTCGATCTATAACAGCTTGTAACTTGGGAATACAATAATGTTACAATAATTTATGCTAAATATCAGAAAGACAGTTTTAACTGAATAGCAGAAAGAGGGTTTTAGTTGAATTAGTAACTGGCTTTTACCATTTTTACATATTCCTTTACATTTCCTTTCATTGCCAAAATGTCAGTAAAGAGTCATTAAGAGTGGACTTTTTTCCCCTCTTGCCATTGAGAACAGTCGGTGGAAACACCTGTAGTCTGGGGGATGTAGATTTTCACATTCCGCTGTTCTTAACATAAATTGTGTTTTAAGTGTCTATAGATCTGATTAGGTAATCCTAGATTTTTATTTGTTGACCTATCCTCATGCTATTTTCTCCTTTCCTACATCTTCTCCTCAAGACATTATAATTTAAATATAAATTTAAGCCACTGATTTTGGTCTCTCTAGGTTTGCATCATTTTATACATTCTTTTACATATATGGACGGAGACAATTATTGGTAATAAAAAGAAAAGCTCTGTTTTGATTTTTCCTGGAAAGACATTTATTGTCTTAAGTATTAAAAATATTGGAAATATCAGTTACATTTTAATAAAGAAACTTCTATTCTTTATCCTCAGTGAAGTGGCAAGTGGAATGTAGGGTGTTGTTAATAATTAACCATTACTTTTGGGAGGACTGCTATTTGTTACAAAGACAGTGATATCTGCTCTTTAAAATGGGAGGAAATGAAGAACAAGTTATGCTTTGGGAAACAAATATTTTCTGTAGGAGAAGATATACTGAAGTATAAAAGTTCATAAGAGGAGGAGGCCTTTGCATGTGGTATCATATGACTTGGAAATAAAAGTGGGGGAAAAACTCTCCTGAAATTAATTTTGAATATTACTGTATAACACTATAAAAGAATATTCTGAAAACAATAAAAAAGAATATTCTGAAAAAGAGCAAGGCACCTAACCTTACCAGACATAACCACGTGTTATTATAAATAATAAATCTAAAATAGATAAGATTTAAACTAAGTAATTAGCATTATAAAAAGGAAAACAGCCCAAGTGCAATTCATATATGAAGTACAAATAGTAAATAAGACAGTAGGAGATGTCCACTCTTTTTAGTCTCAGAGAAAAGTGGGTTAAAATAAAGACAAATCAACCACACTGGATAAATTCTACTGCCTGGAATTTAATTAGTTGTACAACTATAAGTCTGATTCTAAATTAATAATTAAATGCTGACAGAAAACTATTGTTTAATTTTAATATTTTTTTACATAAAAATGTCCATCAGTTAACATTTACAATACTTAAAACTGTAAATTAAGAGGGAAGTTACATTTTGGATCATCTTTGTATGTAATAGTTTACATTAGTAAACAACTAAAGCTTACTCTTCACTCATTCCTTGATTACTCATCTCCCTCTTGTGGTAAGTATCATCCATTACACCACGTCAACACCTAGCCCCTGCCTGTCTGTCACTTTCTCTTCCTTTCCTTGCCTTCCACTCCTGGAAGCCTCCAAAGCATATTCCCTTTGGTATGAATACCTTTCTCTTGGTCTTTAATGGATTCTTTTCACTTATTATAGTTGTCGCCTATATTTTGGCTTTTATGATCGAGTAATGTTGGCATGATGTTCTCCAAGTCATTGAGTGCTTGCTTCATGTTTTGTCCTCGTTGTGCAGCTCTGATAAGTATTCCATGTTGGGTTCGTATCAGAGTTTCTTAGCCATTCTTCTACTGATGGGAATTTAGGTGGTTTCCAGCTTCTGCTATGGTACTGAACTGAATATGAGTGTGTCTATGCTGTTCGAGCTATGACAATCAGTAAAAAAAGTGTCTTGAATGAAATTGTGCCATAATATAACTGGGATCTAAAACATTATATTTGCTCGTTTTCTTGCAATTTCAAGTTAAGTTTAGGTGCAATAGTCACTACAAACTCTGCTCATAATCCTAAGGGTGACGGAGCAATGCCAGGTTCTCTATAAATTGTATCCGTTTAGAATTTATCCAAATTAAAAAATTCTTTTAAAATTTTTCTTCAAAAACTAAAACAAAACCAACACCAACTATTTATGATAATTTGGATAACATTTTATAGAGCAACTTCTTTTTCCACTAACCAATTCCCACAAACCCTGTTTCATGACATTGCCTGGGTCCCCACAATGAAGCAGCCCTCTTCTGCTTCCTCTGTGTGTAGCATTTCCATTCTTCCTTCTTTCCCATGGCTTCCTGCATTCTGAACTTCATCCTTGGCTAATGCTGCCCCTTTGATCTCCTATGGTTAATTGTTCTAAGGAGTGTGTACCTCCCTATTAGCGGTTCACTTATGGGCCTATCAATTGGCTGAAAATTGGGCCACAGTGATAAGTTCAATTCCAGGCAAGAAGGGTGTCTAAGGGCCCTAGTCTTGGGGATGCACCCATCTCTATCAGATCAGTAAACCTGGTCTTTTAGAGGTTTCTCCCATATTTGTCCCTCACTTTATCCAGAAGCTTCTTTTATGATCTCTTTCCCAGTGGTCAGCTGTGGCTGAGAGCATCATTGAGTCCTGGTCTCAGGCTCATGGAAGCTGCCATTTGCATGGCTCATTCGCTCTCTAAATGAAATGCTTCCTTGATTTTCTTCACTTTTTCTCCTCCAGAGAAGGAGAGACTAATAATCGTACCTTAGATGACCACTTCCAAACTTTTATGACTCCAGCCACTATTCAACAAGGTAGGATGTAGAATACTGTCTTTGTGGACTATGTGAAGCCAATTGACCATGCTGTCCCCTAAGATTATGTTACAGAGCCCCAAGCACAGTGACTTAGATTCAATCCTACAACGAGCTTGGTTATAGCTAAGAAACATTCATAATTTTGCCTCCTGTATGCTATATTATATTTATGTGCATACTGGAAGCACATATAGAGATGTAGACATATCCTCCTTCAAGCCTACATCTCTTTGTGGGTTTGGTCCCATTGCTTTCCCATACCTATTCAGCATGAGCCTCTGTCTATATATTCACTCCTCCATTAGCATTGCCATTAGCACAGGGAGGTGTTTACAATACTGTTTACCTGTGCTGCTCCTCCCAGGGCCTACTGTTTGCTGGGATCCCGCGCCCTCCCTTCCCTTCCCTTCCCTTCCCACTCCTGGCAACATTCAACAAATGTTTCTTTCCACATGTGAAGGCTTCCTTGACTTTTCACAGTAGTGTTATCCCACAATCTTTATGTTGTTGTGATTGACTGATAGCACTCAGCATGTTGCCTTGGTTCATCCAGATTATGAGAGGATTTGAAAATTCATTCTCATTCTCCAATGCTTTGCATTCTTCCACTGTGTTCATGTACTGTAGTATCCCTTCTGCTGCTGATGGGCTTTCAGGCTGTTCTATCTTTCGGTTATTGTGAATAGTGCTGTGATAAACATGGGTGTGCGCCTGTTTGTCTGTGTCAAGCTCTTATACTTTAGATATATATTTACTGGTAGGATTGTGCAATCATTTGGAACTTCATTTCCAATTCTTAAGAATGTGCCATACTATTACCATTTTACACTCCTACCAGTTGTAAAGTGAAAAATTCTTATATTTGCATAATTCAAAGTAGTCCAAAACAAAACTTACATTCATGATTCCTTGGAAGCTTAAATTTTTTCAACAAGACCCTAATTTAGAAGTAGAGAGACAGACATTAAATATTTATTACTGAAACAATCTCAAAAGGTATCATTTAGTTTTAATTTTAGACTAGGAATAACATTATACCATTTATATTGCTCTAAGAATAAACTTTAAACTCTCCATAGGTCTTCTGTTACAATAGTGGTTAAATTTGCTTTTTAAAAAGGCTCTGTGGAAAACAGAGGATTACTAGAAATAAAACACCTTTGGAGTCCATGTATTTCTTTGTGACATATGAGCATAGTTATTCACAGATACGAATTATTGAGGAAATGTATGTATTCATGTTACTTTCTACAAGTTTCCCTGCATATGAAGTATTTTTCTGGATATAGTATCAAATGACTATCTTCCTAAATATATTTATAGATAAAGTATCAAAATGACTGTTTTCCTACCATTAGTAGAGGAGAAATATTGTATGATATTTAAAAATAAATTTTTCATCAAGTAAAATATGTTTTTTGTTCTTAAAGTGAGAAATACAGTAAATATTTAGATGAAATTTTCATTGAATTTAAGATTAGTATTTTGTACAAAATGAGTTAATTATGTAAAAATCAGAACAGAATGCCCTATCCTGAGGAAGCTGACCTAAAAGGAAAATAGATGACTATTTTAAGTAATCACAATACCAAATTGCATGCTTTGGAAGGACCATATTTATACAATTAGATTAGGTTGCCTGCATCAGTAGATGCTCAATAAAAAAAAAGACCAAAGCAGCGCGCGTGCGCGCACACACACACACACACACACACACACTCACACGCACTCAAAAGTAGGTAAGAAAATTATTAGAAATATGAAGTACACAATTTTCTCAATGTATTTAGTTTTTTCCTCCTCAAGTGACAATGAAATCATTTCTTTAAAAATGTAACTAATGATTTCTTGCTATCTGTATAGACAGGTAAACAAAAAACTTGGCTTACACTAAATTGAGAGAGAAACATTTTGTTTTTCCCTTTCTAGAAGATTCCTCCTTAAGTTCTAGTTCAGATGACAACATTTAGACTACAAAGGCAATTTCTGGTAGAGTCCTACTTCTATCATGAAGATTCGTATTCATTGAAGAGGAAAAATTTATGAAAGATGACCAGCTTAGGTCATTATGAATGGAAGGGGTGAATCTTTTCAATTCTTCTGTCTGTATATGAAAAATGTGATCAAATTAACTTCTGATCAAACTATACTTTTGGAAACATGTAATTCTGAAAGCACAGTGATACTTCATAATGAATCATGTAACTGGCATTATGGATGTGAATTAGGACGTTTTTCTTTTTCTTTTATAGTTCACATTTGTCCATCATGAGAATCTAAAGATTAGGATTTTAAAAAATATTGAAAACATTAGCATGAAGAACTTGTCGAGGTGGTATGAAGTTTCTTAAAACCTTATTCCATCTTCAGAATGAGACAGTGCAAAGACTATTGGTAAGTTAGCACTTTTAGTGTTATTCGGATCTCCTCCCCCACATCTGAAAGCAATGAATTCCTATGACACCTTCTGTAAATGTATACCAAAATACCATAACATGAAAAAGCAATTACCATTAATTTTTATGGGAAAGTATTGAGTGTTCCCTAGACCAACTAATAACTTACCAAATCATACCAAACGGTACAACAAACCCACAGCTCAACAAATGCGCGCACATTTCGAAGCCATGCGATTTGGTGGTGAGATGCTGAGTGCAGAGTCTGGCAAGGAGCCTGACAATGCCACTGAGCTAGCTGCTCAGGTGGCAAGCTGTCTCCTTACGAGGTCAGTGTGAGACAAATGCTGGATGCTAGTCCGCTGCTTACTATGTTTCATATAATTGAAAATCCTTTCAGTGTCTTGTGGTGAATGAAAACACAAAGTAATGGAAGTCTTTCATAAGAGTGAAGTGGCGTAAACGGAACTTTTGAAATCTGAGGGATAATTGGTATTCCTCAAATTTCTTTCAGCTTTCAATACTCAAACCACGGAGAAGGAAAAACACAGCAAAACACACACGTAGCTGGCCAACACGTTCCTTTGTGGAAGATCTGTACTGCGAAATCACTTACCAGCAGATATGCTTACACAGGTCCCGGCCTTTCAGAAACGTGGAGCAGTTACAAGTATGAGGATTTCCTAGGAAAACCTTTAAAAGAAAAATGTATACATAACAAAAAAGTCAGTGAAATTTTAATCAGAGCAAAACCAGGTTGATGGCTAATTAGACAAACAGGGATTTGAGGGTGTAACATAGTTTCCAAAAAACCAAACTCACTGCTATCAATTAAAAAAGGGAGCTTTCCACTTCTATAAAGATTTATAGACTCCCAAATCCATAGGGGGCAGTTCTATTTGTCCTATAGGGTCACTGTGATTCAGAATTGACTCGATGGCCATGAACTTGATTTGGGTTTTTTTGAAGCACCTGGTGGGCTCAAAGTGCTGACCAGGCCACTGGATGTCCTCAAAGACCGAATACAAAGGCTGAATACATATCTACTGGGGAATCTGAATGCCTGACTTGTTCTTTGCCATTGTTAACCACTTGCAGGATCAATTAATACCTACCTCTTTTAAGTGCCCTGTATCAAGCAGGTGAAAATACATCTAATTTTATAAGGTTACTAATAATTAACTCTTCCAAGCCACTTTTTAGTAATCCTTACCAGAGGCACCTCTGAAGAATTAGTGAGCGGTTTCCCAAAAAATCAGCCATGGAAACCCTATGGGGTATGATTGTACTCTGATTTACACACTTGATATTGAATAGACTCCACTGGCAATTTTTTAGAATTGATTTGATGGCAGTGAGTTTGGTTTGGGTTTGGGGAGGCAACTTGGGGTTGGAGGAAAAGGCCTTTCATTCACCAGATACCGTCAACTCAACTCTGCCTTATGGCCACCCAGTTGTGCCAAAGTGAACTGTGCTCCGTAGGGTTTTCAGTGACTATATTTTCAGAAAGAGGTCTTCAAGTCTCACTTCCCGGTGCCTCTGGATGTACTGGCATGTCCCGGCTTCTCTGGGTTAGTTATCCAGAGGACTATATTGGCTCAGGCAATTGATTCAATACACTTAAGTATTGCGAGCAATGAAGCGAAACATCTTAAGCAAATCTAGATTGCTAAATTCTATTTCATACTTAATAAGCCTTGGTGGTTCAGTGGTTTAAACGATTAGGCTGCTAATTGAAACCCACTAGCTCCTCCGTGGGAGGAAGGCCAGGCAGCTTGCTTCTGTAGAGCCGGCAAACACCACGGGAACAGTTGTACTCGGTCCTATAGGTCATTGGGATTCGAGCACCTAAAATGCACGACACAAAACTAAAAAAATTCAAATCAAATCGTGGGGTGTGAGATGTGAATGATTTTTTTTTCTTCTTTCAGTTGTGACTCCAGACAGGATCCAAAGAGGAGTTCTACCGACCTCGTCTCTGGGTTTTATGGAGATTTGCTTTACCCTTCTGTGTTAGCCTCTTAAAGTACTGCAGCAACCTTAAAAGGGCACAAGAAAGGGAGGTGAATGATTTTTGAGTGGTGAGTGTAGGCTGTGCAAAAGTGAGTACTCTGGTCTTTCAAAAAAATTAAAAATAAATTTCATTAATTAAGATCTTGGAGGCATTGCTGTTTTAAATCATACTTTAAAGCGCTGACTTCACAACTAGTAAAGAAAAAAGAGAAAGTTATTTTGTTTACGTGGCAAACTAGTGGTGTGCAAGCCCCACTCCGGTAAAAGCACCTTGTTAGGTGCAGTGGAGTTGAATAAATTTCTACTCATCGCTACTCTTAAGACACTAACAGTCCCACAAAATACTGCGAAATATTGCCTACTCTTGCTGCATGATTGCTCCCCAAACTCGCTGCCACACAGTCAATTCTGACTCATGGAGACCCTGTAGGGCAGAGTAGACTTGCCCCTTTGGGTTTATGAAGCTGTAAATCTGCAGGCAGGGGAGCAGAAAGCCTCCACTTTCTCCCCAGAAGCAGCTGGTGGTTTTGAACTACTGACTTTGCAGTTAGCAACCCGACATAAAAACCACTACACCACCCAGGCACCTCCATTATCAGTGACAGCTAAGAACAAAACCTAGCATGGACGCAATACAAACCATCCAGTTAGAATCAACGGCTCACTCTGCCAAGCCTCAAGATCAAGGTTTATCATCTAAAAAGAATTGACTGCAATCTGGGCTCCTAACTTCCCACATGAACCTTTCCAACAAATACTGTTTCTCTCTAGAATAGATTTAATCAGTTGTTCCAGCCAATCTTCACAGCCGAGGGGGCCGGAACAGTCGCAGGGATGCGTGCGACGTCGGCGTGCGACAGCGGAGCCCCCAAGCCTGGGGAGGGTGCAGAAAGCGACGCGGTCGGCGTGGGGGGCGTGGGGGCGGAAAAGGGGGGCTAAGGAGGCGGAAGTTACTCGGAAGTCCCTGGTCTCCGGCGCCTCCTCCCTCAGCAGGAAGCCGGTGGGGCCCATCTCCCGCAGGAGGTAGATGCTGCTGCTCAGCGCCTGGTCCTGCTGCCAGCTGAGGCGGTCGCTCGCGCGTCGGCGCCGCGCCGAGCCCTTACAGCCGCGGCGGAGCATCCTGTCCCAGGCTGGCCGAGGCGGCGCGGTCGAGCGGCTCCACCGCGCGGCCGCCGGGCTCCATGACAACAGCGCGCCCTCCGGTTGCCTGGGCGACGGCGGCGGTCGCGCTCGGCGATGTCCCGGCATGCCTCGCGCCGGGCTGTCGGTTTCACAGCGCCCCGCGGCCCGCGCCGGCGGCTTCGACAACTGCCGTGCCGGGTCAGAGAGGATTTCCAATGGCCAAAGGCAGAGTTGTCAAAGCTCTTGTAGCTATGGCCGGGATCTTCTGGTTGTCACCACGACAGCAGATGGTTGGCTTTCTCCCGGCTCCGACCCGCAGGCCTGGTGATAGAAAACCCATTACAGTCTGGTCTCTGGATTTTTATAAACTGCGTTTTTATCCGGGGGAAAGCGAACTGCAGGTCCATTACCGTGGCGTGGCGACCCTACAGGAGAGAAGAACTGTCACATAGGCGTCCAAGGATGTGCTCTTCACAGAATGCGAGCATCACATTTCCCTCCCAGGAGCAGCTGCTGGGGCCAACCGTCATCCTGTTCGCAGCGGAACGCTTAACAGCTGTGCCACCAGGCCTCCCGTGTCATTGGGGAGGGTCAATATTTCACCGACGTTAGCCGGTTGCCTACTAGGTGCACTGTCGCTGCAGGAAGAGCGGCGACGTCAAAGACGGGAGAGGGAGAGGAGACCTCACCCCAGGGAGCTATCCTCTTTAGTCCACGTGTAAATGCGTCTGTGTGAAGGCAAGGGGAGCATTTCTCAGTCGCAAGTTTGGTGAAGATGTGTGTGTTTGTATATTGGTTGACTCTGGGTATGTGGCCTCTAACTTTACAAATCCCTGCACTCGCTGCCATTGTGTGGATTCTGTCTCACAGTGACACGACAGGACAGGGTGGAACTGCCCCTGGGGGTTTCCGAGGCTGTAACACTCTGGGAATAGAGAGCCTTGTCTTGTCTCCTGCTTAGTGGCTGGCGGTTTTGAACTGTTGACTTTTCAGTTAGCAACTATGGCGTAATGACTGAACCACCAGAGCTCCTATAGCTACACTAAGGGATGAAATTTTCAAGTTATACAAATTTGACCAAATATTTAAAATAACTCGAGTTTTGTGCTTATGTTCTATAAGAGGAGCTGTAATTCATCCTGGGTTAATTTAAAAAGCCGTATGCGCCAGTTACATAATCTCCTGCCAACTTGACTGAAGGGGTCCTCAAACTTTGTAAACGGGGCCAGTTCACTGTCCCTCAGACCATTGGAGGGCCGGACTATAGTTTTTAAAAAAACTATGAACAAATTCCTATGCACACTGCACATATCTTATTTTGAAGTAAAAAAACAAACGGGGCAAAAACACCCAGCGGGCTGGATAAAGGTCCTCAGAGGGCCACATGTGGTCCGCGGCCATAGTTTGAGGACGACATGACCTTCTCCTAAGGATTCTGGGAACTCCTGTCTTCCTCCCTGCAGATGGGACACATTCTCTCTCTGCTTCACATTCTGTTGACAAGTCATACGAAACTATGCTGATGGCAGCCGGAGCCCTGGAGCTGGAGAAGCCACATGGCGAGCCACCCCAGCACTGAGATACTTCCACAGACTTTTCACCCATGGCCTGTGATCTTCCTACTTTCAGCATCACTGCATGTGCTGCGTGAGTCTATAGAAGAATTTATGGACTAGTATTGGACATGTGGGCTAATATCAAATTTATGGATTTAATCTGGACTGGGCCAGATGTTTTCTTAATAAACAATTACTCTTGAATATAAACCTCTCTCACACACGAGTGTCAATGAATTCGTTTCTCTAGTCAGCCCAGACTAACATATCGTATTAGCAGAATTTCTCTAAAAAGACAGCAGCATTTGCTAGCCCGATACCATGACCATGAATGGAGGACATTTGTGCTGTGGTATCATGTGAGGAAACCGCCACTGGTTTGTGTCAGGAGCAGGAGAGGAGAAAAAGGAAAATGGCATACAATACAAAAAGATGTGGGTTATGGAAATTCTCACATATGAGATATCTACATTAAAACCAACCCCAGGCCTAACATTTTAAACTAAATTTGATTTCTCTTTTCTTATTCTGAGTAGCAACAACTAAATTTATGCTACAGTACTCAACTGGAGCATCACATGACAGGTGTGAGATTTCAAATTGAAACATAATTTAGAAGAAAACCCTATATTAAAAGTAAATATGCAGAGGCTTCAAAAAATTCTGTGGAAAATGGAAGCAGAAGCTTTGGTTGAACCTTAGTCTCTGGATCATAGTGGTAATGACTGGTTTCCAGTGAGGAGTTATTCCATACATTGCACCTTCATTGGCTTCAATCTTGCTTAAAAGACTGAAGGAAATATCACCGAGAGGAGAATCAAGGTTCTGAATCTCTCCTCAATTGGTTCTTGTCCTCACAAAAAAGAATCCAGCTGAGGGACACATTCAGACCAGAGAAATGGTTTGAATGGAATGAGTGAGTTTACAGAAGGAAATTCTTTGGTGTAGAGAGCTTCATAGGGCCCCAAACTAATCTGAGGGTATAGCAGACCAAGGAGCCGGAGTTTGTTTAGCTAATTCTGGACCTTCCACCACTGGCTAATTTTCCAGTGGGTCTTTTGCTATTTGCTGTCTTTCTGTAGTATGCTTTTCCATTCTAGGTACATGCGCCCCTAAATTCAAGAGTTCATGCTGGGCCTCTGTGGTGTCAATGAAAGCTTTTCCTCTGAGCTACTAGAAATAATGGAGCAATGATCATTTTTTATTCCCTCCCCTCCTTAGGGTTTGCCATAAAGGGTACATATCTTCACCCTAGAGACCTCCCTTGGCAAAAACCCTCCCCTGTAATTTAGTCTCTGAGACATCGAAATGTTTGGGGGACGAGAGAAGTGATTGGTTCCTGAAGGAGTGCCTGAGAGGTAGGCATGTTTCCTGTTGGCACTTGAGTCTGTCCACTATAGTCTAACAAGATGAATCCATTGGGGCTCGCACTGGCTACCAGTTAAGGCAGGCAAGGGAGACAAAGAGGAGCCTGGGCTTCAAGGGCTATGCTGGTGTAAAGTGATCCCACAGCAGATGAGCCTTTCCTTTGTCAGGGACGCCTATAGATCCTGATACTAAAAGAAGCTAGAGTAATACATGAAACCCTCTATGGGGCCCTTAGCTGCAAGGGGCTGGTCTAGGGCCTCTAAACATATCCAACACGAAATGTTCTAAGAGGGGTTAGCTGGCAGATTAACAGCTGATAGTAGTGGGGCAATAAAAGGGGATTTAAGGTATAAAGCAAAGATACAAGAAAAGGATCATTGTATAGGTTAGACACATCTGGCCTTTTAAAACAGTATTCACAGGTCCTCCCGTGCCTTGCAGGCCTGTTAGCTGTTCCTTTTCTCATTAGCTTCAGATTGTGCCACTTGGTAAGCTTTCATTCTGGAATGGTGTATCCAACTGCTTATTTCTAGAACCTCCTTGGCAGTCAGAGTGCAAAGTATGATTGAATAGGGCCCTCTTCAATATGGGGAGAGTTGGGATGCTGAGTCTAATGGAGCAGAGAAATAGGAATCTTCTTTTCTCTCAGAAACCATTGAGTTCTGGAGGGCATCGGTCCCAGAAAGGTGTAAGGGGTTGGCACTACAGAGTCCATAGGCATGACTGGCTCATCGTTGTTAGCTGCTGTCCAGTCAGCTATGACCCAGAGGGTCCCTCTGTACAATAGCACGAACATCGCCCAGTCCTCTGCCGTCCTCCCAGTCATTCTATGGGTTGAGTCCATTGTTGCAGTTACTGTTTCAATCCATTTTGTTGACGGCTTCCCCTTTTTTTCCCCCTGCCCCTCTACCGCGTATGACGCCCTTCTCCTGGGACTAGTCTTTCTGATGACTTGTCTGAAGTATGTGAGATGAAGTCTAGCCATTCTTGCCTCTAAGGAGTATTCCGACTGTACTCCTCCCAAGACAGAGCTGTTTATTCTTTTGGCACTCCATGGTTCTTTCACGTTCTTCACCAAAACCACTGTTCAAATCCGTCGATTTGTATTTAGTCTTCCTATTCAGTGTCAAATTTCACAGGCTTATGAGGCCATGGAAAAGACATTGGTCAGGTAGCCTTTAGTCCAAGTGGTGGATTCAAATAGCTTAACAACAGTTTGCTACCCTAATGACAATTTTAAGTATTAAAAAGCAATCTACAGAAAATAGTTTATTATTTCATACAGTTAATATTTGACAATAAAAGAGGTACACAAAATAGATGGTTATAAGGGTTTTAAAATATTAATGAAAAAATATATCATTCCTGGCAAAAACAAAACCAAAAACTGTTACTCAAGATATTTCCATATTGCTTCTTCATTAGCATCCTCATTTGCAATATTCTTTGCTTTTATCAGAGCATCCTGGGCTCTGTGATTTATCCTTAACCACCTTTTCACTGTAGGAGTAGCTTCAAATTCCTTTAAAAGTAGGCCAATTTAGCAACTTCTCTTAACATAGTATAATGTGTTAGTCTGGGTTGACTAGAGAACCAAATCCAGA